TTGTTTTTGTGTGATATATAAAAAACCCTGTGTACTTTTGTTTACAGTTTATAACCTGTTTTAGTTATAAACTGAAACTTGCGGTGCAAATTCGCTTTAAGTCGAAACCTCTAAAGTTTAAGAACACAAACTGTGAATGATCTTTACAAATCTTCCACTATTCCTACAAAGCTGCACAAGTTGATAACAGAAAAAAATACTAGTTTTTGTATTTTGGTGACAGTTAGGAAGATTCATGTTTGAATTGTTGTCTGCCATAAAAATTGGTACTGCTTTGTTTTCTAAATCCAGGTGAAAGGCAGGTGAGCTCTAGGGTTTATGCTCACTTTGTGACAGGGTCTTTATCTCTGGTGTTTTCGTTGCAGAGATTTGTTTGCTGACACGAGGCAGGAGGACGGCCAGCGTTCGAGCCGACACATACTGCCGTTTGTACTCGCTCTCTGTGGACAACTTCAATGAAGTCCTGGAAGAGTATCCTATGATGAGACGGGCTTTTGAAACCGTTGCTCTGGACAGGCTGGACCGAATCGGTAAGGGGAAAAAAAATAGCATTACAAGACTAAAATCACATCCATTCAAATTCCTTTTTAAAGTCATCTGCATGCAGAGTTGCAGATAAAGCTGTGCTTTTAAAATCCCTGCAAGCCTTCTTTTACACATGCAATTGATATTCTCTCCGTATCCATTATTGTTCCCGTGCTCTGTCTGGGCAGATGAAAAATTCACAATAAAAGGCACGCCTGTATTATCACATTGCCATCTTRGCGTGCTCTGTTTTATCCACTATGTTTAGAATTGAAGATAGAGAAACTGCTTTAGGGCTTTTCTTTGTAGAAAAAGCCTGCTTTGAAATGGTCAGCTGATAGTAATATGATTGTGGAATGGTCCCTTCCGTAGTCCTTTCTTCTGGGTTTGGCGCTCGTGCACCTTTTTCTTCTCTCTTAATAAAGTAACTCATACAGCCCTGATCCAAAAATTAATTACTCTGCAGACTTTGACAGTCAGATTTGATGTGTGAAAATGATAAAAGGTCAGGTAGTGCCAGAACAGGACAGGCACAAAAACTCCTACTAATGTGTCCCTATTCATGATAGGAATTGGAGAAGCTAATCTGGGTCACTACATTGTGTTTTAACAAAGTATTGAAAAACGCTAGGGGAGACCGGGGACAGTAGCAACGAGGGACGGTTGCAACACATCATTTTTCTCCAAACAGAACCAAGCTAGAGTGATGACACTCACACTGTACMTGCTCAGTTAGATGGCCCACCTTGCAAAGAAAAAGTAAACAGATTCAAAAACTGCTTCAGGATTTATTTGAAAAAAAAAACTGTTTTTGAGGTACCAAAGTATTTTTTTTTTGCCCAGCTTTATTTTTGTTATACTGTTGTCACTATTTTTGTGATCCAGCTCAAACTTATATGCTTTAAACTAGTGATATGTTGACTTTTAACTAATATAGTTAACATGTATCCAGATCAGTTTATTTAGCTAACACATGAGGTTTTATCATGACTGATGATAAATTCATATAAAAACAGAGCACATACAAATGATATTAAGATGCTGAAATTAAGTTTACACTTAAAAGGGTATTGGATTTTCAACAATGTTTTTAAAATCCCAGTTTTTTTCAATGTAAATTTTGTATAATGTAGGTGTACAGTGACAATAGGTAAAACAAAAGTTAATTGCCTCACAAATTGTTCTATTATCCTTGTCTCAAAAAGTGAACTGTATTTTATGTCAATTAGAGTCTCTGACATCTGTATATAAGGTCTACTCATCAAGGYAAATCGATATTTGTCATTTGATCAAAAAGGATAAATAAATAACGCTGTAATTTCATTATAACTTACAGTTTTTATTAATTTAGCAATAACAGAAATATAAAAATAATAAAACTTTTATTTACAGTGAAATATATTGTATTAATAGTATGTTGAAACCACCCCCAAACAATGTTGCGACTGTCCCTGGCTCTGGGGTCAGTTGCAACATCTGACTTTTTATTTTCAAATGCAAATTGTGAAGAATGTACGTGCTTTAATCATCTATAAATGGTTTTGACTATTAACAGACAGATGTAAGTTTATTGTATTAAAATTTGGTTTGTCTAATTCAAGCCATCACTGAGTAACAGAGTCAAATGTAAAAAAGTGTTGCAACTGTCCCCGGTCTCCCCTACACAGGTGAGTCCGTTATTGCACTGCATGGCTTGCCCAGGTCGGCCCGGCTTCAAACCCAGAATCGGCTTGTTAGCATTGGCCCTTACAGCCCTTTTCCACCCCGATTTCTGGAACCCTGAGACCTGTGCTGCCCGGCCTAATTTGATGTCAGCTGTTACGTCATGCAGATGAGAGTAACTTAATTTGAATCGTTTGCAGCAACTGTAACGTTTTTTTTTTCACTCAAGTTTTACTACACGACAACAGTAGCAAGCTGCCAAACAACAAGCTAACATTAGCTACAATTAGCTTATCGTTCTCTTTCGTTTTGCCCTCTCGTCTTAGGTGTCAATACTGCTGGAGGGTCTGGTAATGGGCTGAGCAGGGCCTGAAAATGCAAAAATGCCTGTAGCTGTGTCTTGTGTCCAACTTATATGAAGTTTGTGGCCTTAAACCTTCCTTGCAGTTTGGAGTAAACACCTAAAAAAGGTTTGCATAGTACAGTGAAATTTGGAATGCTACTCTTATATAGTACAGCCAATAAAAACAATTAAACATACATGAGAAGACACCTTCTGTTTAAAGCATGCTGTACACAAAACATTATTCTTTAGTTTAAAAATTGCAAAGCTTCTGTGTAAATAACCATTTAATGAAAAAGTGACACTGGTTTACATAAACAACATTCACACGAATCTCTGTGAATTTCTTTTTAGTTGAAGTTATTTTACAAAAGCAGAAATCTGCTCTAGAACTAACCTCACTCAAATAAACCAATAGCTTGTTTTCCCCGAGAAAATGTTCCGTACTGATAAAGCTGTGACCACTGTCTACACAAGGTAAGATTTTGATTATTAACTTCAGAGAACGCCAGTTAAAAAATAAAAAAATAAAACCTATTCAAACCAGAGCTAATAAGATTGTTGAAAATGTGTACCACCAGAGAAAGTAGTTAAAAGCTCAAATATGTCTCATCCAAACACTTTGATGTTTTCTTTCCACTTTTTTACCCAGAGATTTCAAGTCAGGCTGCCACTCATCCTGAGCTTCTCTCTCCTTCATCTTTCTTCTGTTGTTTCTTTTCTTCAATGCTCTTTTGTGCTTTGTGTTTTCCCATGATTCTCCATCTCATATCTATTTGTCAAATCTCTTTTTCCCTTTTCCACTTATGAGTGTCAGGTATATATGTTTTTTTTATTTATAGCTCTTTATATTGTAGCATAAAGGATTGCAGGAAAATATAGAGATTTTCAAAAATTCTTCAAAGTTGTTTTGAACACTTTATTATATTCACTCATATTCTCATTGCATCTGTTGATATTCATTGTTATCATGTTTGTATTACATATGTCAGGTTTTAACTATGTTTGTACTGTTCCTATGCTGAACGCTGTTATGACAAATTAAATTCCCTCCTTCCTATCTGTTTGTTTATCTTTCTGTCTAATCTGCTTCTAATGTCACCGTGTTTTTCTTCTTTTTGTGTCTCTGGGCCATGTGCTTTTAAAGGCAAGAAGAACTCCATCCTACAGCACAAGGTGCAACATGATCTGAGCTCCGGTGTACTCAACTACCAGGAGAATGAGATCATCCAACAAATTGTGCAGCACGACAGGGACATGGCCCACTGTGCTCACCTCATGCAGAACGTCCCACCACAGACGCCGCCCTCACCCACCCCTGTCATCTGGGCCCCCCTCATCCAGGCACCTCTCCAGGCTGCTGCTGCTACCACCTCAGTTGCTATTGCACTGACACACCATCCCCATCTCCCRCCAACGCTCTTCAGACCTCCGGTTTCTGTTTTGGGTTCCCTCAAAGACCCATCTACCCGACTTAGGAAGTTCCCGTCTTTTGTTCCTTCATCCACAGCGCCTGGCTCTTCCGGGGACTCTCCCTCCAGCACGCCCTCAAAACTGCACTCTGGTGTGGACATGCCATTGCTGGCTGCTTTTCGAGCTCAGCACATGACATCAGTCTCTGGGACCACTGGCTCTTTTCAGCATGCCTCAGGTAATGCAGGACAGTCTGGACCAAATGGGAATGGGTCTGGATCCAGTGAAGGAGGTACCTCTGTCTTCCCGTTTGGACCGTATTCATCCTCTGGTTCTCCTTCCGCTAGCACGGCCCAGCTTCATCCACAACCACAACATCAGCAACCCTTTAGATCCAACACGCCACCCCTTTCAAATCTCTTCCACCAAGGTTCTGTAAGTGGAAGTACAGGGTCAGGACTAAGCGGGGGGACTGTTGGAGCCTGTGGTGGCGCCACAGGATGGTCTTCAGGAGGAGCCATTGGAGGTTCTGTTGAAGAAGCCATTGGAGGGGATACTACTTGGGCTGGGGAGGACTTTACAACAGGGGTGACAGACCTAACACATCGAGGGCATTTTGGATTAAAAGGACCAACAGATGAATCAACTCATGGAATCTCAGGGGAAGCAGTGGGTGGACTATCAGAAGGATCAGTGGGTACTGCTTGTGGCAGGTTCACAGGTGGGACATCCAGTGGATCAGTGGCTGGTGTTACCTGTGGTTTAATACATGAAAAAGCCAAAAACTCAATAGGAGGGACTGCTAAAGAATCAATAGAAAGAGCTTCTAGAGGACCATTAGGTGGAATGATGGGAGAATCCCTGGTTTTGACAACCACTGCAGGAGCATTGGGGAGAATCAATGATGGATCATTGGTATCTGTCTCTGATGTGACCTCTTGTGGAATATTCGGAGGAGTTTTGAAGGAAGCAGCAGTAGGAAATTCTGGAGGATTGTTGGGAAGATCGTCTGGTGGGTCAGTAATTAGCCATACAGGAGGAGATCCAAGTGAACCAGGTGAAGCCCTTAATGTAGGACAAACCGGCAGAGTGGTGGGGAGTACAGTAGGAACACAAGTAGCAGGATCTACACATTTACCAAGCGGAGCTTCAGGTGGAATTACAGCTGGACTTATTAATTCCTCCTTTTGTCAGAGTTCTTTATCTGCCAGTTCATCCGGCCTTACGCCTGGTCTTCATAATCAACCTCATCCCAAGCCTCCTCAGCTGGCACCTTTGCAGCAGTTTACTGGAGGAGGTAGGACTACTAGTGGCATAAACCTCTTCCAGTCTCCCCCACAAGGCTCCCCGTCCTGTAGCAGAGGAACACATAGTCAACAGCCTTCAGGGGGTTCCCCTTCTTCCATCAGTCATTTCAGCCTGGCARGCTTGCAGTCTGGCTGCCTGCCGCACCACATGTCATTAGAGAAGTCTGCTTTGGCTTCCCTGGCCCAATACGGTTCAGCAAACGCCTCTCCCTGCCTTACCCCATTGGCACGCAGCCCCACTGTTCAAAGTCCAGTAGCAAGCAGGACTTTTCACTACAGTGACCCTTCGAGCATCACAGGATCCCACAGTTCTCTGCTCATGTCTCAGTCTCCTCTCCTTTCACAGCTTCCCAACCAGCCACAAACAGGGAGAGAATCTCCCCTGGGGCCCTTTTCTGAGGACCTAAAGTTTTTATCCAGCTCACACTCATCTCTACCCCTGGAGGTGGCCCAGGCCTTAGGCCACCAAACTCATTGCTCCTCTGTGGAATATTACCCCTCACCGTTTTCCTCACCCACTCTTGTGCCCAAACCCTGTAGCTCAATACCAGGACACATGACTCCCCCAATATCGGAATCACCAGGACACTCTCATCAGACTCAGTCCCCTAAAGCTTCACCGGCGCTGCCTCCACAGAGGGGCTCTGGTGCCTACTTGTCAGATTTAGAACCTCAAACTGCTCGTTCTAAACTTCCTTCAAATTTGTGAGAATTGATCACACCCTCCTCTGCTGCCCTAAAATAAAACACATCTTCATTTTTGTTTTTACATTATTTTATGTTCTAATATTTCACTGTGGTCCACCTCTCATTTTACTAAGATTCTTTCAAATTTACTGTAATTTGAGAAACAACTTTGCCAGGAAAGTCAAACTGTAGAATACCCCCCATTTGTTATTTGTTTTACACTTTGTTTGATTTATACATATATACTGTATATAGATAGAGATCTATTTAAAATATATATTAATTATTGGACAAGGAGGGTGTGAAAGGGATCTTCTCAAGGACACTTCTTTTTTAAGACTATGCCAAATTCATCTGGTGTTTTTTGAGGAAAATAATCAATAGACTCCATGATATCATTTTTGTTAGTTTAATTTATTTTCGCAGAAACCTATGCACTAATACCTGCATGTGTTGTATAAATATTTTTTTCTGTGTGTTTCATAATATTTATCTACATTTTTAGCTGAAACAAAATGCTTTGAGACACTGATCAAGTCATTTGGGATCACATATTGTTGATCCTTAAATGTATTTATTAGATTGTACTTATTTATTCTCTGTATAAACTTTCAAAAAGTTGAAAGATGGATATGAGATTTTAGGAAACCAAAAAGGAAAAAAAAGAGCTTTGCTTAGGAGTAACAGTTCACTTCTTTGTGGCTCGAGGATTCTCATTCATACCACTTTATTAAAAGTACTGTGTATTTTGAAGCGGGGGGGGGGGGGGGGGGGGGGGTGACAAGGTTTAGGGAGCGACCCTCCATCTCAGTTTTTAGACAAGAGAGTATCTGTGATGGACTTGCTTTCTGCAGAGTCCTCAACCATATCCTAACAAGCTCACTTTGTCTTCCAAGCTCATGCCGCCTTTATATGTATTAGGTTTGTTTGTTTTTTTCCCTCCCAGCTGTGTGCAGCTGTTTGAGTGAGTGTTACAAGTATAAGTGAAGTCGGATGCAAGGCAAGAGTTTTACCTAAACTGATCAAAAGTAAGTTTGCCTTTTTTACACAAAACTAAGAACTTCCAATAACAACAGCCTGATGCATTTCGTAGCATATATGATAAAAAAATAATAATAGTATCTAAAGCGGGAAACAATTACATTTATGAAGCAAACTTGAGACTTTTTGCTTACCCACATAGCCCCAACAGCACTTATTTTTAGTAATTATAGTTTTTTTCTTCATATAAACTGAGAAGTGCTGAAATCTCAACATTTCACACAGTTTTTCATTTGTGCATTACTTTTTTTCTGCTGTAGCTGATTGATAAACAAAGACATGTCTCCTTATTGAAGGCTAAACTTTGAGTTTGAGAGGTTGAATGTATGAACATGTATCAATGCATAAAGTAAGTACTGTAGCCGTGGTAGATGCACTGAAGGCAAACTGTCCCTCACTGGGGTTACAAGACTGTTCAGTAGCTGAAAAGGTCATTGATTCCACATCTTTGACAAACATCGTCATCAGCAGCCATTGCTATTGCCTAAGTGTCCTTTGCTAAGACACAGAAGCACTGGCTAAATTGTTCATGAGCCAGTCTGAATATTTGCCCAGTCAGCTGCCTGCAACAGCCCACTTTTTACAGTTTTACTGTTCCCGGTAAAGTGACGCTTGACAACTTTGCTGCTGCTTTAACCTTCAGAGAAAATGCACACTGCTTCTAATGTGTCACCTAAAAATAAGTACCACTTCTATAAGCTTGTTGGCTTTTTCTGACATTTTAGTTCAAGCAATTATATATTTTGTTCCATTTTAAAGCTATTCTGAGTGACAAAATTAGTTCCTCGTAACTTTTTTTTTGTTTCTGAGTCAATGAAAGCATTAGTGAATGTGAAAAAAACAAACATTTATAGTCTTGACTCCACAATATTTCAGATAAATTTAGGTTTACCTCTTCACACCATTCCCTCCACTTATCATTTAACATCATCTCTTTCCAGATGTGCTCAGCTGCTGTTTGTTGTCCTTGTTACACGGTCCAGCTTGTGTTTCACTTTAACTTTTCTCACATGATCTTGAACCAATCATTAATATGGTACAGAAAAAAAAAAACACTGAGGCAGCAAAACTGACTCAAATTGGAAAATCTCTGCCAAGTTCAAAGATCTTATTAAAAATGTACCATCAGTTAGTTATAACTAATGTTGCTGTATAGACAAGTCACCTCAGCTTTTATTTATCACTTTATTTTTCAATATGCAAATTTGTGAATTCTCTTTACTTTTGAACACAGTTGAGATTGCTCCTCACAGCAATGTTTAAATGTTAAGTTCTATAGCTTAAAGTGTGTACTTGTGGGGAAACCAGAAACTTCATTAGCAGAGTTCAAGTCTTAAATGTTAGGATCTGAAGTTGCAGACGTCTCCTATATTTAAACTAGAAGCTTTTGATTTTATTTTTCTGCATTTATGATATATGTTGTTGTTTTTCCATCTTCTACAGGTACTATTTCAAAGGGGATCAACAAATTGCTTCTCAGTCTAGTCAAAAAAGTTTCTGAAAGGATGCAACTATTCTTTCCCCCCACGGTACATGGCCAATAACATCCAGATCATGAAGTTGCTTCTCCTCATAAATACAGTAGAATAAGGCCCTTAAATGAGCATGTAAAATCCCAATCTCCCAGAAAGCTTTGCAGCAACCAGCAAAACTACACACATTAGTGGCAGCTATCACTAAAGTCCCAAAGGAGAGGTGCAGAGATAGGATCTTCTTCATGTTTGTCTGTGGCTCATCACTAAGACAGACCCCGGTTCCACTTAGACAGCTGAGTCCCAGCCTCAGTCACAGCACTCAGCCTCAGCAGCCTAATTTGACAAGACATATTTGTAATCTCTTGACCCTCACAAGCTATCAGAGACTTGGACACAGAGGTGACCATGCAGGCCCCTCATTACAGTCGCGTGAAGTCCTTTTAACAAGGTGAATCAGTACATGAAATGAGTTAGTTTCACAAAAACACGGTGACAGACGGGAACACAAGCTCGTTTGCTTCCTGGAACTTTATTCCACAACATTTTCTTGTTGTTGGAGTATGTTTTTTTCTGACTTTCATTTTTTTTGATGGACTCAGATGGGCCAGTCTTTGCTACATATAAAACCCATCAAAGGTTTGTGTTAAAACATTAATATATTTCTCAAAATGAGAACTATCACATAGTTATACCCAATAAATTGTAAAAAATAAATAAAGGCCTGTTCAATTTTCATCTTAAAGAGAGTGCCTGTTTTGAAGACATGCAGTATATTGTGCACTTTAAGTTTTAAAATGTGTAGGTTAGTGATATCCCATACCAGCATTTTGTACAAATACTCATACTTGTACAAAATGCTTCGATAGGAGTGATACCAGCATTGATACTGAGATACAGTACTGGTATTGATACTCCAGTTAGTGTGTTACAGTTTACACTTCAAATAAAAAGTGTGTTGGTTCCATATTTAAGAAATGTATAAAGTTTATATAAATCTGGGGGTGGTAGTGGGGGGCTGAGGTGTAGGCCTATAATGAGTGGAGAGTCATCTTGTTCTAAATGAAAGAAATGTGTTTTTCATTGTGTAATGTTTAGATTCTAACTCAGTGAGTACTTTGTATTGATACTCGGTATTTGCGAGTGCCCAAACTGAAGTACTCATACTCAGTTTGAGAAAAACTGGTACCTGGACCCCCTAGTGTAGGTATTGATTAGTGATGTATTCCATTTGTTTAATTTTTTTTAAATGAGGGCTGTAGATATAGCAAGAATTTAGCTCAAATATCTAGAGTTTCTTTAAAAATACATCTTAGTTGTGCAATTTTTATGCAACAAATTTCAAGTTCAAGACTGACAAAATCTGTGATAACTTGAACAGTTTCGTATGCATGTAGTATTTCATATAATTTTACAGTGAAGAGATATTTGTGAGGTCTGAAACGTTCTGTATCAGCCTCCAAAGTGGCGACAGGGGCAGAGCTGAAAGCAAGCAAACTACCAGAACTCCTCTCTGTCTGCTCTCACAGCGACTTGAAAGCCTTTATCTTCATGTAACCTGCAACACAAAGACAAACACTGTACCTAAAAAGTATCTGTTTTCCGCATAGAAACGCGCTTGTTGAGAAACTGCATTAGAGCAGGGCTTGAAGCGAGACGAAGGTGTGGGGACACTGATGTGTGGAGGTAATGATGCAGCTGGACATTCAGACACAGAGGAGGACCGGTACGCAGGCAGGCGCTCCACGGGGTTCTCATTCTGATGGGCTTCTTTTGGCATGTTTTCCTCCTTCCTTGTGATTGTGAGTGGTTCTGGGTTTTCAGCGGGCTATTGATTGGAAGGATACGAGGTAAAGATTTGAGCATTGTTTCGCAGCGAGCAGTAAGTGTTTGGGATGTTTGATTGTGTTTTTCACGCTTTCTGCCAGGGTTGAAGCTGGTCTCTGTTGAGGAGGACTGAACAGGGTGGGCAACCTACTGTGCTGTCTGGTTCATCTGAGCAGGCCTCTTTGCACAAGCTCCTGTCTCGCCGTGTAATAAAAACATTTTTTATCATGTTAAATTAGAGGGGAAAAAATATTTGATTGATGGGCATACAGCCTTGAAATTCTATACTGGAAATGAGAAGGGAGTTCATAATCCTCGGGGTCATAAAATATTGTCAAATCTCAGATGACCGTGTAATGTTTCACTCCAAGCAAAGGCTTGAAAATAGTCAAAATTGGAGTAAGACGATTTTTCACCTGACAGCAGTGTTTATTCGTCGAGCAGATTTTCTATTTCCATCCTCTCCCACTATTTGCCACAGCTGCATAATGTAGCATGGAGGCAAAGCTTTTCCAGAGAAATCAGTTGGGAGTTAGATAAGCTTTGAAACTTTGTCTTTTTGAGGGTAGCGAATAAAGACAAACAATGATGACTCACTTTCTCATGCAGAGAGCTGTTTTCAATATGTCTCCCTGTGACACTCATTTGAACACGGCAGAGACAGCAGTGAAAGGCAGCTGATAGATCCTAACTTGTCAGCACTCTGTCCAAATGCTCAGAACTCAATAAAGTACTTCAAAACAGATAAAAAAGAGTACCTAAAATGCTTGTTCTGAGCCTCTGTTTTTTGTATTTTAGTCAGAGGTGGGCAGAGTACTCAAGAAATGTACTCAAGTGTAGCACTACTTTGCCAACATTTTTTTTTACTCAAGTTAAAGTCAAAAACTTATGTCCGAGAAGTTACTCAAGTAAGAATAAAAATGTATTTTGTAAAAAGGTTACTTGAGTACTGATCCTAACATCTGATTTAATATTTTAAAATGATTTCATCAGAATGACTAAAATAGACAGTTATGTGCAAAATCTGGTGTTTTTAAAGACTAAACTGAAAAAAAGAAATAAATTACTTAAAACAAAATAATCCCTTTTTCATGTCATTTTCCACCATTATGAAATTACTAGGTTTCATACTGTATATATA